ATTCTCATTGTCTTTTCCTAGGATATTGTCTAAATTGGAGTGCTGGTTTGGTATTCATGAAGTTCCTCAGGTGCTCTTTGTCATGAAAGTATCTTATTTCTCCATCAATTTTGAAAGATAGTTTTGCAGGGTACATCAATCTGGTTTGAGGCTGTTTTCCTTTAGGGCTTGGAATACATCACTCCAAGCTCTTCTTGCCTTGAGAGTTTATGTTGAGAAGTCTGCTGTGATTCTGATGGGCTTTCCTTTGTATGTGATTTGTTTCTTTTCTCTAACTGCTTGTAGAACTTTGTTCTTCTGTTGGGTTTCTGGAATTTTAACAATTATATGCCTATGTGTAGATTTTTTTTTTGATCAAGGCTAGTTGTAGTAGTATATGCCTCACTTATCTGTATGCCAAGTTTTTTTCCCCCTGCTTTGGAAGTTTTCTGCCATTACTTCTGTGAACAGTTTTTTTATGTCATCTGCACTCTCTCCTGTTTCTTCATTGACTCCAATCAGTCTTATGTTAGTCTTCTTTGCATCATCTAGCAGCCACTAGATTGATTTCTCGTGTTCCCTTACAATTTTAAAGCAATTTTTCTTTTCCTGGTCACTAATTGTAATCTTATCTTCTATATCTGAAATTCTATCCTCACACTAGCTCATTCTGCTGCATAGATTTTCAATGGAATTTTTAAACTCCTGAAAATTTGTTTGCATCTGTTTTATGGATTCCATTTGTTTCTTATGTTGAGATTCCATCATGTTCTTTAGCTCCTCTCTAGATTTATTAATCATGTCTTGCACTATGAACACAATCTCTGCTGTTGACTGAGAAATTATTTCTGATTTCATTTTTTCCAGATCCTCTTTTGTTGCCCATTCAGGGAGTCCAGGTGGTTGAGCATCTAAGTGTTCCATCTTGTTTCCCTTTGGGATTGCTTTAGGTGATCTGTAAGGCTGGTTTTGAGACTTGTTTATGTGTCTTCTCATTTCAGTGAGCTGGGGGTGGTTTGTGCTGCTGGCTCCCACGTGGGTTACCTCCTCTGTGCTGGGAGTCGTGGTACCAGTCTTTTAATTCATTCTTGAAGAAGCCTTTTCTGAGCTTCTTGCACGTGTGGTTAGCTGTAGCTAGTACCTGGTACAGGTTGATCACTTTCCCTTTAGGATTCTTTTCTTTGTAGGAATAACAGAAAACAGCAGAGGAGTTGAGGCTTTGCTTTTGATCCTCAGCACTGCAGGAAGGAAAAAAATTAATTCTAAAATAAACCTCCTAATATCTTGCTTTTCTTCCCTATAAAACATGTGCTTTGTCCTTTCTTAATGTATATTAATTTTCTGTATTTTATAAATTTTTGAAAACCTTCCTCAGTATAAGCAATGAACTAGAATCTATGTGAGTATAAAAGTGGTTTCTGTTTTATATGTTGAATACACTTTTCTCCTTAACTTCATAAAGCCAAGACCATCACTTTATTATTGTGGACTACGCCTCTGTAGCTCTTCTTTTTATTTTAATACTGAGGTTTGGGATTATACTTGTAGAGAAGTGGCTTCCATATTTTATATTTTTGTTGGCATGTTTTTGAGGTTGGCTTGGTGATTCTTACTATTTTCCCTGCCGACTCCTGCTATGCTGCATGAAAGTAAATAGCCTGAGACAGAGTTCCTTTATCTCTAGTTCCATGTGTGTGGTCCTCCTGTTTGAGCTCTTTCTTTGAGTTGCTGATACCAGTGTGCCTTTCACTCAGGTTTCTGAGCTGTCCCTTCACTTGATCAGTAGTAACTAGTTCTAAATCACTGCCATGCTAGTTTCATTTCATTTAACCCTCTCAAGAGACTCGGGAGGCTGTTTTTATTCCTCTCACATGGCAAGTGAAACAACAGAACTGTGTAAGGGTCACATGCTTTGCTCAGAGTCATTCAGTGTAACCTCATGGGTAAGAAGAGTTCAGGCTCTGGAGCCAAAGTGCTGAGGTTATTTACATTTGGGGTATAAACTTCACTAGTTGAATACCTTAGGCAAATACACTTAATTGCACTAAGAGTTTTCCCTTCTAAAAAAGAGGAATAAACTCGATGTGCTTGTTAGGAGGATTAGGTGTCATAATCCATATTAAATGTCTAGCTCAGTACCTGGTTTGTTGTAATTGCTCAGTGAAAGGTAGCTCAAGGTTGTTTATTATGGCAGCTTCTAAATGGCAAAGCTGGCAGATAAACTCAGGTTCTCTCAGTCTCATATGTGTTTTTAGCCACACATTCAACTGGGTGAGAGTTTGACCAAACAGGTCATGGCTAAATGAAGTAGAATCTTCTCCTTCTGTGCTTGAGAAGTCATCACGATGCTGCTCTGGGTTTCAATGTCATCATCTCTTTGAATGAGCATTAGTTATTTAATCTCTTTGCATTGAAAGAGAGGTAAAAATACTTCTAAGAGTTGTTAAAGGAGCTACTTAATGTAAATGCTCTAGCGCAGTCTCTGGCCCAAGCGGGCACTTCATAAAACTTATTAAATAAATTAGTAATAATAGTAACCAGTGAACTAAAGAACTATAATAAACCAAAGCTGGTAGTTCATATAAAACACTAGAACTAGGTGACCTTTGGAATACCTTTGGTCTTCCAGGGAAAGAATTTTATAATAAGCTTAGTTCTTGCCCCATAGGGCTAAAATATTGAATAATTGACAGAGAGTGTCCACCCACAGTGTAAACCTCCTGCAGAGTCTTAATGCCCCTGGCAAATGAATATGCCCAGCTCTGGACAGAAAGAATGCAGTGTCAGTTAGTTCAGTCTGGGATGTCAGTCCTGGCTCCGTAGTTAGATGCTTTTGGCAGACTTGATGAACCCAGAGGCCCGAGGCTCAGGTGGATTCATTGCTTTTATTAGCAAAGGCCTAGGAATTGGGAGCAGGCTCTTTGATTCAGTCTCAGATGGGCGTCACCGGAGCAGGTTAATAACTTTATCCAGTTTTCTTATTTCCTATTTCTCTTCCTCTCAGGTCAAGGCTGAGATTCAGGTGACTCAAGTTTTATTTTCAGTGTTACTGACAACAGAAGTGTGGCTTCTGAAAATCACACACGTTTTGAGGATTTTATTTTTCTTAATCTGGAAAGTGGCACTTTGCACCCCCTATTAAGTTCGGGTGTAAGGTATAATGCACATTTAATGTAGAGTTGGAATCAGCAAACTTTTCTAAAAGACCAGATAGTATTTTAGGCTACCTGGGCCTCAATGGCATCTGCTGCTTATCCTTTGTTGATGGTATTTTTCAACTAATTAAACTTATAAAAGTCCTTTTTTAGGCTGTAATTTGCCAAGTTCTATTATAGAATATAAGAATAAGAGGTCTAGAAGAGCTTTTATCCAATACCCTCATTGGTTGGCAAGAAAATGGAGGTGGCCCACATACGTGGATTTTTTTCTTCCTCCGTACTTTTAAAAGAACAAGGCATTGAAGAATTGCAAAGGATTTTTAAATTATTGATATTAATCCTATCTTTCAAGTGGTATTTGTTTTTATTTCAAAGCTCTATTGTAATTAATACAAACAAATTGTGATGACTAAAAAAACAGCGCTAGACATTTTAAGAATGAGAAATTAGATGTTTTAGAAATTTGGCTTTTCTGGAAAACTTCTCTGAGGACAAATTTCCTGCTCAGCAACACAAGATGCACAAGAGCATCACTACCTTTTGAGTGTGTGTGTGTGTGTGTGTGTGTGTGTGTGTTGTTTTGTTTTGTTCTCTCTCCTTTATTCCTGGCCTCTGTTTTAAATTAGTATGGAAAAACTTCAAGTATTCTGTGCATATCAGGGAGATTTTGAGGTGAGAGAAGATTCATCATTAAATCTTAGATTCATGTTTATATTTGTGTTTATATTCCTACCTCTTTCTCATTGTTTTATGTATGATCAGTTTGAGCAGAAGGGGTAGAATCATAATCCACCAAGGTTGGAAACAGTTGCCATTGGCAAAAGATTCTTCCCCCTCTTCCTTTTATTTCCTCTACTTCCACCCTTCCTTTCTTTTTCCTTTGTATCTTTTTGAAGACAATTGTGTCATAGAATGGGCCTCCAGAAAGACTTGAGTTGCCCCTGTTAGGCCACCCTTGGGTTTAGCTAGCCTGTAGTTCTTCTGTTTGATCATGTTACCAATATGTTTCTTGGCATTTGCTACTTTTCTCTTAACACTTTTGGTACATTTATGTCAAAAAAATACCTTGCTAGGCTCCTAGTTAAGTGCCCAGGCGAAGCCAAACATCTTTCTCCTAAGTAAATTGCTACCGACTGAGAGGTCATTGAAATAATAGAAAGAAGATCACACAAGGAGACTATGGAGACACAAAATGAACAAACCTTTGGCTCCTAAGAAGCTCACTGAAGAGTATGTTCACTATGTACAATCACTGGACTTGATTAGACAGCCTGGTAGGAAAGAAAAGATACTGAGATAAAATCAGGAGTTCTTCGGGATGGGACAAGCCATTCACCTCTCGGAATCTTTCTTTTGTCCATCTATACAGGAAAGGACTACACTGAGAACTCCTGTGTTTTATGAATTTCGTGAATTGTTTCTATTTAAAAAAATTGTGGAAAGAGTGGTGAAATGATTGGATACATTGGTGCCCTTAGATGAAAGAAAAGACTTATTTCTCTAGCAGAATTATCTATACAGCTGCACACTTGTGGCTCCTGTTTTTTGGATATTTACTGTGTGCCAAACATTATGCCAAGCATTGTACTTAGAATATCTCACTTAATGCACATTCTTACTCCAGAGGGTAGTGTATAATAATATCCCATGTTAAAGAAGAAAATGGAGGCTCAAAGTGTTGAAGCATTTTAGACTCAAAAGGTATTTTATTTCTAACCCCTTTCTATTCATACTGTTATGCTATTTTATTTGACTGATGAACTTCACTTTCTTCTTTAGGAAAACCTCTCCTGTCACATATGATTTGGGAAGGATAGTTGACCGAATATCTCACATCTGTTCTTTTTCCCTCAATTTCCCTAGGCCTCCTAGAGATTTAGACTCCAAGGCTTGCATTTCTATTGGAAATCAGGTGAGAAAAGTCAAGCCTACCAGCCAACACCTTGGCCATTTTATATATATGCTTTCTGGCTGGCTACTGAAAAGTTTTTTGCATATGTAACATGCTTTTAGGGGATGCGTCAAAAAAGTTTGAAATTCAAGCAAAATGGTTGTGGCGCTTTTGCTATTTTGAATTGTGAATTGAAATCAGGCTGCTGTGGTTCTCAGGAAAGGTGTATGAGGAGAGTTGATGATTCTCTTGGGAGGGAATTTCTCAAAGCCACGTAGATCTAGCTGGCAGAAGTCAGTAATAGACTGTAAAGATAATTAAGGGGGTGTGGCTAAGGAACTGCGGTGGAGCGAGTTTCAGCTGAGCCACTTGAAAATTGAATCGGATGCATTTGGATCCATTGCCCGTGCCAAACAAGTGGGTATTGTGAGAGTCTAAGCTTTTCTTGTGGCTTCTTGCTTTTAGTAGTTGTTTTCACGTGCTAGAAAGTACTGTGGCCTATCAAGAATCCTTATAACATTTGGAGAAATGAGATAGAGGACAAGATAGTTAGTGTAGTGTCCAGTTTATTTTTCACTTTCCTACTGCATGATGACTTTTTTCTCTTGCAGAACTTTGAGGTGAAGGCAGATGACCTGGAACCTATAGTGGAACTGGGACGGGGTGCATATGGAGTGGTGGAAAAGATGCGGCACGTACCCAGTGAACAGATCATGGCAGTGAAGGTAGAGTTGAAGTTTCCCCAAATGTTTTCTACCCATGGTGTGGACATTTGTCCATTTCAGCTATAATCCAGCCCTTTTCATAGAAGCAAAACAAACTTTAATAGGTTGAAAAAGAAAAGATTATTTGCAGGGAATAATATTTCTCTCTAAATGGGTGGAAAACACTTCCTTGGAATGTGCTGCCTCATTCATTCATTCATTCATTCATTCCATGGTACTGAGGATTGAACCCAGGACCTTTGCACTGAGATACATCCCCAGCCCTTTTTAAAAATTTTTAGGCAGCATCCCCATAAGTCACTAAGTTGCCCAGACTGGACTTGAGCTTGCCACCCTTCTCCCAGTCTCCCAGAGTGGTGGGATTACTGGTGAGTACCTGTAATACAAAGCATGCCTGGCTTTGTATTTATTTTTTACCTCAGTCCCATCCCCTCATTTTAATTTTTTATACCACTACCATGTCATCATTACACTTAAAAGAATTATAATACTTTTTTTAAAGCTCATCTAATATTGGTTTTGAATTAAAATTTCCTTAA